TGGGTATATCCCGATGGCAGAACCTATTATGATCGATATTATCCATACTAATCTCTAATCTTAATATTTATAAAGCCAATAAATAGTAAATAACAACAACTATGCAAGATCACAAACGCACAATGCTTGATCATCCACCAGTGAACCACATGCACTTGAAACACGCACAGAATTCGACCAATTAGCAGTCAGTAAGTCAAAATCACAGCACATGGTTGGGATCACGGTTTACAGAGATAATATTAATATGTGTAGCTTGATGGTATGTGTGTATAGCTCTGAGATGTCAATTGACTATAACCAACTCAACAAGAAAAATAAATAAAGGGAGAAAATGGAAGAAAAATAATGAAGCTAGAATATTTACCAGTAACATCCCGCAACCTCGTAGAGGTTTTTTAGAATAGTCCCTATAATAAGCTAACCATGGGTGGCACTACAGCTCTATCTTAACAGCTTTCTCCTTAGTGTGATTAACGACTTCTTTCTCATCTTTTTCCTCCTTTTGTTCCCCTTCCTCTTTTCGCTGCTCTTCTTCATTCTTCACTTGCTCTTCTTTCTTCGCTTCTCCTTCCTCCTTCTTAGACTTCTCGCCCTCTTTCTCGTTATCTGTTGTATTTTCTGTTTTCTCCTTTCCGTCGGCGTCTTTCTTTTTCATCATTTTCTCGAGATCTTCGAGCTTTGTCTGCCTCATCTTCTTCATAAATGCGCCTAGCTCACGATCCAAGGATTTTAACTAAAAAGAAGTACAATATTGTTTATACACGAATTAAATGGCAAGATATAACTGAATGGTCAAATCAATATTCTACCATGACTTATGGGACATTATTGAGCGTGGGCTGAGAATATCAACATCACTGACTAACTACTGTAGACAGATTACACCCCATCCTTCTCGAAGCCCAAAATTACATCAAACACTCTACACTGTTCGTCCAGAAATGAACGAAGAGATCTTGACAAACGTCATGACCTTCAGCAAAGTAAGGAAAATTAGGAAAAGAAAACGCTTCAATGCGGACATTTGTTCCGTTTTTTAAGGATTCATTGCATCGCCCAAACCTAGCTTAGTCGACAGAACAAAATGGACACATTAGAGTACTACAAAAAGCCCAGATTAACCACTACCTACATTACAGATAACTCAAATTATTTGAAAATCCTCACCTTGACAGCTACTTCACTCGTCAATAGAACTGGGTCTTCATAAGGTTGTCGTTTCGCTTGTGCTTCTTTCTTCTCTTTCAGCCAAGTTTCTACTTTATCCAGCTTCTTTGCGAATGCGTCAGCGTCCGTCTAATAAAGAAAGATTTGAGAAAAATCGAGAAACTGGCAAAAGGCAAAGAAATATGAACACCTTGTTGAATAGCGACTTCTCATCATCTCCACCCATTTTCGACATAATTCTAGATGAGTTTATTAACGATTCTAGGTTTGTTATAGCAGGCAGAAGAGTCTAAACGAGGTGATAAAAATAATATGTTTGAAAGCTACAGTTCTCAATCAAAAGACTTACCTTTGCCTCTTCAACCCTCTTTTTAACCGGCCGCACCAGCGCTTTCAAAGTCACATGGTGTTTGGTAAAGTCTGAAGTCTTCGTCTCAGGTGTAGTATCATCCTCTAGCCAAGTTCGGATACGTTTGCACTGTGATATGTAGATAAAAGAAAAAAATAACAAATATCAAGTAAGTACACACGAAGAATGTTGAGTGAAATCTACATGAAAGAAACTTTCAAAAGTACCTCCTCGCCAATCTTGTTCTTCTCCTCTTCTGTTGCATGCTTCAAAAATTCTTCATTCTCTAACAATTGGGTAACCTCGAAAGCGTAACCCTCTAGGTCGTTTTCAGCAGCTGCGCGTTCTCGAGCATGCTTCTCGCGCTTCTCGAACTGCTCTAGGCTGAAGTATTTAATCTTTGAGCAAGAAAAAAACATGACAT